GCCCCGCGCGTGGGACTCCGGGGCTGCGGCTGGGAGCACCTCCCTGCGGGGGTCCCCTTGCGCCGCTTTGGGGACGACGTTAACCTCGAGTTTCCCGGGGCGTTCTCAGGACACCTCGCCCGACGCCCGTCCTCCAGAAAATGACGGCCCGGGAACACAGCGGCGCCCGGCTCCCCCGAGCGCGACTGCACCTCCGGCGCCCGCGGGCTCCGCCCCGCCCCCAGAGGCCACGCCTCCTCCCTTCCGCCAATGGGAGGCGAGGGGTCCTGTGGCTCTTTGTACCAATGAGCGGCGAGGGGCGGGGCCCAGTGCCTCCGGGCGCCGGCGGGCGGGCGGGTGCGGCGTACGCCATGGCGTCCGCGGAATCCCGGTCACAGCGCGTGGGCTTCGTGGGCGCGGGTCGCATGGCGGAGGCCATCGCGCAGGGCCTCATCCGAGCAGGTGGGGCGGCGGAGCTTGGCCGGGGGGCGGCGGGCTTTCCTGGGCGGGAGGATGCGCGTGTCGGGGCGGCTCGGGCGAGCCCTCGGGGCCCGCTGCGGGGTCCCGGGACCCCCGGCCCGCGTGCAGTCCGCGCGGCCCTAGCCAGAGCCGCTGCTCCCGCTGGCCTCGAGCCGGTCGGAAGCTGCGTGCTTCCCGAGTGTAGGATCGGGGCCTGGCTGGTTCGGGGCCCCGGCCTCCGGACCGCCCGCGCGGGACTGGTGCTCCTTTGGACGCACCTTGGCCTGCGCTTCACGCCTCCTTAGTGACCTCCGGAAAGCTCACGGTTCCATCTGCGGCGCCATCGCATTCTCTTGGAAGCGGCGCCTTAGTGCTGTCAGCAGCCAACTTCTTGGCTTCGTGGACTTGGCCAGGTTGACCTTTGGGAGTTTCCGTGTGTGCCCCACACCACCCGTGGGGGTGGACAGCTCTGTGGGACCAGATCCTTCACCCTGTGTGTGTAAGAATGGATCTCTACCTGTCCTCTAGGCGCCAAGTGGTAGCCTGCAGTGTTTCTCCAGACACTGCCAGATGTCTCCTGTGTCAGGGTAAGGAGAGGGACAAACGTATCCTGGCCACGGATCATAAGTAAATAGGAGAGGATATTACTGCTGTCCTAACGCCTTTTAACGTAGATCGCACATAGAGAGAGCTGGTGACCTTTGGCTCTCTGCTTTCAGCCCTACTTCAAAGTCCAGAGGACTTGCAATCAATCAGAAAATACTTTATTGCAAGTTTCAGGTGTGTAATACTGCAGTTCATCTGAGACTTGGATGCTGTGTGTTGCGTTACTGCCAAGGTGTGTGGCTGACATTGATATTAACTGTGTTCAGGTGGTGGTGTGCTTCTTTTTACCTTACAGAAGTCTAGCCCAATCTCCTCACCATGTGCTCCATGGAGGCAGATACTTTCTCCTAAATGGCACTAGCACACGGGCCTCATCCACCATCCCTCCTTAGACCCTTGGGGGGTCTGTGTCTTCACTGGACCAGACAAGCCCCTGGCCCCGGCAGCAAGCATAACTGCCAAGTAGACTTTAATGGAACTGATTGCTGGGCCCTGGGTTCCCCAGCATGGCTGCTTTGAGTTCCTGCAGAGCCTCAGGCCAGCCAGCAGGGAGCTAGGGATGGGCCAAGCGTTGCCCAGGAAGGGCCCTGCAGGCTCTTCCCTGTCTTCCCACCCCTCACGAATCTTCTGCCTTTGCCTTTCTCTTCAGGCAAAGTAGAAGCTAAGCAAGTGCTGGCTAGTGCACCCACAGACAGGAATCTCTGCCACTTCCGGGTGAGTGAGATTCAGGGCCTTGTCCGAGACAGCTGTCAGGGCCAGGGAAGTGTGGCTCATTAGCTGAAGATCTGAGACTGGGCTAGGTTAGGGGAAGGGAGGCCAGAGGCCAGGTAGAATGTCAAGGTTGTGGAAGGCCAGAGCAGACACAGGTATATACCTGTGTGTTCACACGAGGGCTGGGCTGGGGTGGGCATGGATGGGTGTGGGAGAGTAGCGTTGGTGGGGTCTCGGGGGTGTGGAGCAGTGTTGGGGGGGTCTCGGGGGAGTGAGGAGCAGTGTTGGGGGGTCTCGGGGTGTGAGGAGCGCGGTGGCGGGGTCTCGGGTGTTTGGAGTGGAGCTAGTGTAGACTGAGGCGGAGGAGGTCAGGGCCGTGGGACTCAGGTAACCGTGTATAAAGGCTGTGATGTGGAGCCGCCCCTCCTGTGGTCCCCGGTCCTGGTTTCCCTTGCAGGCTCTGGGCTGCCAGACGACCCACTCCAATCAGGAGGTGCTGCAGAACTGCTCTCTGGTCATCTTTGCCACAAAGCCGCACATCCTGCCCGCTGTCCTGGCGGAGGTGGCCCCCATAGTCACTCTTGAGCACATCTTGGTGTCTGTGGCTGCTGGAGTCTCTCTGAGCACCATAGAAAAGGTGAGTGGCTGTGAGCTGCAGCAGGGCTAAGGCCTGGACCCTGGCACAGGCCCTCTGACCAGGCTCAGGCAGCAGGCGGCCTCCTGGCCAGCTACACAGGTGATGGTGTGGGTGCTCTGGGCCAGGCCTCCAGACTCGCTGTGCCTGGCCACCTGGGACAGGGGACGCAGCTGGCTGAGGGCTGCCCGCCGGCCCGTCCCCCGGCGCCTGACCCCTGTCTCCTGAACAGCTGCTGCCTGCAGGCACGTCAGTGTTCCGCATCTCACCCAATCTGCCCTGCGTAGTTCAAGAAGGGGCCATGGTGCTAGCCCGGGGCTGCCATGTGAGGAGCGAGGAGGCCAGCCTGCTGCAGAACCTGCTGGAGGCCTGTGGGCAGTGCGAGGAGGTGCCGGAGGCCTACGTGGACATCCACACCGGCCTTAGTGGTAGTGGTGTGGCTTTTGTAAGTATTGTCTTGCCCGCACCCTGACAGGCAGCCTTCCTCAGACAGCGGCCCTTCTGCATCCCCAGGCTGGCCGCTTCCTCAGCCTGGTGTGCTGGACCTCAGCCCAGTGCCCCTGCTTTGGTGAGGTTTAAGGACGTGAGCCCGGGTTCCAGTCCAGACACTGGGCATTCGGGGCCACGCCCTGACCTTGGTTCCCAGTGGTCCTGCCCGTCTGCTTTAGCCTTCCCTCTGCTGCAGGTGTGTACATTCGCTGAGGCCCTGGCTGAAGGCGCCATCAAGATGGGCATGCCCAGCGGCCTGGCCCACCGCATTGCTGCCCAGACGCTGCTGGTGAGTGAGCATTCCCCCAGGAGTGTCTGGGCGACTCAGGCCTGCGCTGCCTCCCACAGGCCGACAGCGTGGCTGTGGGCCTTCCCCTGGTCACCAGCTGATGCATTTTCTCCAGGGGACAGCCAAGATGCTACAGCAGGAAGGGAGACACCCGGCCCAGCTGCGGACGGATGTGCTCACGCCGGCCGGGACCACCATCTACGGGCTCCACGTCCTGGAGCAGGGCGGCTTGCGAGCGGCTACTATGAGCGCGGTGGAGGCTGCCACCCAACGGGCCAAAGAACTCAGCAGGAAGTAGAGCCGGGCTCCTGATGAGAACGCCAGCTGCTTGCCTAGCCACAGCTGCCTGGGGCCCCAGGACTCCTCCTTGCTTGCCCCAGCCACCCAAGTCCTCTCTCCATCCCTCATGGGTGTCTCCCCTCTCCCTACACAAGGAAATGCAGCCCCCACTCTGCAGACCTCCCTTGATAATAGTTCTGCCCCCAGTGAGCCTACCATAATGCAGGTAGTGTTAGTTCTCAGGTCCTGAAAGCTGGTGTCTTGTCCTGTGCCTACATCTGAGGATGGTTGGAGACCATGAGCAGAGCCACTGGGCCTGGGGCCCTGACCCTTCCCTGGGACTGCAGCCCAGCCCGTTCTTACCCAGCCGGGAACATGGGGTCCCGGATGCCCTCTCACTAAAGCTAGAGGCCTCGCAGTGCTGCAGGGCCTCCCCAGGGAGGATGGGAGAGCCCAGGGTCCCCCAGCCTGAGCAGATAGCAGGTGGTCTGTTCTTCCCCAAGCTGAAGAGGAGCGATACCCAGGAATCTCACCCAACAGAGCCACGCTGACTGGGTCTCCCACAGCTCTCAGGCAGCAGCACCTGGTGGACAGACTACCGAGGTCCAGAGGTGGGCTCTGGTCAGACGGGGATGCCCTTCCCTCCATCCTCCTGCCCCGCAGCTCCTGGCACGTGGGTGGAACCCATGTCCTTCCGTGGGAGTTCACCAGGTGAGGGCGCTGTGCCTCTGGTTCCGTCTCACTGGCCTCTGCAGATCGCCCTCCAAGGCTTTCCCCGGCCTTCCTTGCTCCTACCCAGCAGCTTCCTGAGATGGAAAGGGCACCCACTCATCAGTGAGGTTTGGGGCAGGGTCATCTTCTAGCTGGGCAGTAACCAGACTATCCCTCCATCTAGGGATATGTGACAGGAACAGATATCCCATACCTCGTTACCCCTACCTACTGCGTATCCCTTAGCTGTCCACCATGACCGGCTCCGTTTTCCTTGTTTGTGGGATAGGAATAAAGGTGCCATCTTGGAGCACTGAATACGCTGGCGGGTCAGGCCGGGGCTGTGGGTTGTATGGGTGGCAATGGGTTCCATTCACTCAGTACCCACGAGACCACCAGGGCTTCTTCTGGACACTGGCCTCCCTCCCAGCCATGCTGAGCCTGGGCAGGGTGGGTCCCAGGTCTGGTGCTGTAACCCCTTGTAACCTACGAGTGACTGGAAAGTGAGCCATCAGCAGTCTCCACAGGGACCAGGCTGGGCTCAGCTTGGGGCGTAGAGGACAGTCCTCCGTCACCTTCTGGCCTTACGTGAGTGTCCCGGCCCAGTCGTGGTGGCTGGGTCAGGGCTGACTGCTGCCAGCCAATGCCCTCCCCACCTCACACCACCAGACTAAAGCCACTGCCTTCCAAGATACATGGAGGATATGCCCACGGCACCTTTAAATCCTCGCCAGCCCACTTCATACCCCACCCCTAGAACACAGGGTGCTCCAGACTTGTCCTAGGTTGAGTTGCAGAAGTACAACTAAAACAGAGGCATGTTCACCTTTATTACACACATGCTACTGCGCTGCCTGGCAGGGCAAGCTCCCTGTCAGCAGGGTGGCACGCTGGGCCCTCCGACAGCACAGCCTGCGGTTCTCTTAAGGAGTAGCCATTGAAGGCTCACCCTTGGGACAGTGCCTGCCACGCCTCACTCACCCATCTTTCCATACTGTTTTCTTGTGCCTAGCCCAGGGGCTCTGGCTGGCCCCAGTGTTAAGGGTCACTAGCTGCAAGGACAGCAGTCCGTCACAGGGCCAGTGTGGAGCAGTCGGAACCTCCCGGCTGCAGGGATCCCACACAGGATCAAGAATCCCCAGAATGAGAGATCCAGGATTCTGACAACTCCTGGCAGCTATCCAGCAGGTGAAAAGGGCAGCCCTAAGGAACTGCAGCATCGATTCTGTTCTCCCACACTACCAAGGGTGGCCAAGTGGATATGCAGCCAGGAGCACCCAGCGAGCCCACATTACTTTACAATGCACTGAGTGGAGAGGTGGGTGGTTTCAAGCCAGCTGTAGGCCCAAGGTCACGGGACCTTGGCTGGGGCTGCACAGAGCCAGCAGCAAGCCCATCAGCAGGGTGCCAGTGCCTGGCCCTCTGCCTAGGCTATTACTGCATCTCACTCTGCAGAGAAAACTTTTATGAGGTGCTGGGGATCAAACCCAGGGCCTTCACATGGTAGGCAAAGCACGACCCTGAGCTATACCTCTAGCCCAAGACAATACCTAGAGCCAGCGTGGGGCTCCCCAGTCCTTCAAATGCCAGTACACAGACTTCTACTTGTCTTGTTTATATGGAAGCCGCCCCTAGGCCTTGTGGGGCCAGGAAGGGCAGCACGCGATCGTGACCAATGACTCTGCTGACTCCAGCTCATTTGGGCCCAGGCCCCCAGGAAGCAAAGCAGAAGAAAGGAGAATGACGGCACACTCACAGCAGGAGCAGCTGAGAAGCCAAACCGAAGGGCAGCTCCCAGGGTGGACGGGCACTGAGGCCTACAGCTCTGCCACAGCCTTTGAGATGGGGCTGTCCTCGGATCCCTGGAGACATGCCTGCCAGAATTGGGGGGCAGCTCCTAGAGTGGGTGCCTGGGCCCAAGTGGAGGCTGATGGTGTAAATGCATTATACTTGCTGAAGCCTGGCCCCAGCTGCTTGGGCCTTGTGCTCTCAGCCACCTAGGTGTGCGAGCATGGAGGGGCTTTCCACGGAGGTGGCCGGCTGGGGCGCAGCACACACAGATGGAGGCTGCAGACTGACCTGGCCAGGCAGGCCTTACTCTTCTTGCTCCCAAATCCTCCACACCTCCTCTCAGCTGAGATTGGAAACACACGTTTCTGTAGGGATGGGAAGCAGTTCCAGGGAGCTATGATCAATGGAAACCACTTTGAGGAAGTGCTTCCTTCAGCTGCCCTACGGTCACGCCAGTGCATGGCCGTCCCTTCAGTGTGCACACCACCTGCATGCAGGTCCCGGGCACCCTCCCACCTGCTCCTGTGCCCAGGGCTCTGACTTCAGACGTGTGATCCGAGGGATGAGCAGCTCCTCTGACCCGGGCCCCAGCCCCTTAAGAGGGCCGGGACAGCAGCATCTCAGCAAAAGCAGTGACCCAACCCCTGCCTGAGGGGCCGCATCTCTACCCGGACCGGCAGCAGGAACCTGGGTGGAACATTAGGGTGGAGTGAAATTTAGACAGCCCCCTCTCAGATCGGGCCACCAGGGCAGCTCTGAAACCACATCCTTGGCAGTGTCAAAAGGTAGGAAAATTGGGGTGGGGGAGTAGGCTGGGAAGAACCCACATGGGGGTGACACTAAGGCACTAAGACCACTAAGGCCAGCAGTGAATGGGCCTGACCAGGTGGTCAGTAGCTGATGGAGCATCAGGAGAGCTTGTCCTGCCGTTGATCAGAACACCAGGGGCCAAACTCAAATACTTGCCAACCCATGGAATACCATCCCAGGATGGAGTTTTGTTCAGGACAAAAGTCTCTACCTGCTGCTGCAGGGAGAGGTATTTCAGAACCTCATGAAGTACCAGCCTTCATCCTCACGCACTGTGACAGGTCAGCCTGGGCCAGGGTGATGGCCTAGAACCAAGCCAGAGCTTCCAGAGCAAGGGCAGGAGCAGCTCAGAGGCCGCGGCACTCTGCCCAGGTCTCATGGCATCTTCTGAGGAATGTCTTTAAGAGCAGATTTAATGTGCTTAAAAAACAAAAGCCAAGTGGTGTGTCTCCCACTGGGAGAACGGTGAGCACCGGTGGTGGGGTGTAGAAGGGAGCAGCCGCACACGGCAGGCCAGGGAGGGATTGGGGGAGCCCCATAGGGGCCAGAACTGCTGGCAGGAGCTGTGCCCGTGTGCTCCACCAGCTGTGCAAGTGAACCCTGCTCTGTGCACCTGCGGGGGGGGGGGGGGGGCTATCCCAGGAGCTGAGCAGCAGAGTGACACCTTCCTCCAACAGCTCCTTCACCCAGGTTGGGCTTGGACCACAGCAATCTCCTGAGTGAGTGGGCCACCCCAGAGGGAGAGATGACAGAGCAGGTGTCCTTTCCCTCCCAGTGCAGCAGGGAAAACGGGCACTGGGCAGGGATGGTCACACTCCGTCGCTGGGAACCGTGGGGGAGGGCCCGACGCCCCCCAGCCTCCGGGCCATGGTGATGAGTGAGCGCAGCTGCACCAGCTTCAGAGGCCCCACCTCCCTGGGGTCCTGGCTCTCCAGCCACCGCAGAGCTGTTTCCAGCCCCCAGACAGCCTCCCCAGCAGTGGGTACCACCAACGCTCCTCCATGCTCAGTGGCAGCTTCCTCCTCCTCCTCCTCCTCCTCCCCCTCTCCACCCCCGATGCTAGAGGGCAGGCTGGCTGGGGATGGGGGGGCAGCGGGAGGCAGCGAAAGAGGCCAGACGGGGCCCCCCTCGGCCACACAACCCTCAGAGAGGCCCCCGTCATCATCCAGGTGCAACCACTCTACCACCTCTTCGGGTGCCATGCGCTTGTAAGCCAGGGCGGCCAGATGGGTGAGGTCAGCCAGCACCCTGCTGTGCTCAGCCGCCTCCTCAGCCTGGTGGACGGGCTGCTGCCCAGGTTCAAAGGCTGCTCGGAGACCCAACAGCCAGCAGCGCTCTATGCTGCCGGCCTGCACCAGGTCCCAGGAGAGCCCAGCCAGGTACAGCATGTCCTTGAGCATGAAGCTGCGCATGAAGTCCAGCGGGGAGCCACCGGCACAGGACACGGCCAGCCGCAGCAGCTCCCTTTTGTAGAGATGCTTGAAGGCCGCTACCACCCCCTGCTCCAGGGGTGCAGGGATGTGCGGCCGGCTGTTTCCCTTGGACAGGAAGAGTACCCTGACGGTGCCGTCGGGGGTCTGTAGCTCCTCCGGGGACCCGAAGGGCTCGGGCCGAGTTTCCGTGCTCTCTTCCCAGGTGGGCATCCCCGGGGCCCACCTTGGACAGGGCGGGTGGGCGACCAGCAGCACGGCCTTCTGCTGCAGGCAGCTCCGACGCAGGTAACGTTTGACGCCGGGAACAAACTCCTCGAAGAACCAGCCGCGAAGCAGCGGGCGGCTCAGCCAGGCGCCGGGGCTGTAGCGGTAGGAGGCGGGGAGCCTGTCCTGACTGTGGCGGCGCAGGCTGGGTGGGTCGGGCATGTGCCCGACGACCAGAGGCTTCAGCTTGTGGCTCCCGGTCAGGTTGGCGGCCAGCAGCACGGTCACCCGGTCGCCAGGCCAGCGCCGGCCGCAGCCCCCCGGCGGGGGCGCGGCCTGCTCGGGGAGCAGCCTCCAGTAGAGGCCGGTGACGTTGATCTGCTCGTCGCCGTAGCCGGCCTCGGAGGAGAGCGGCGCGGCCGAGGCCCGGGCGGGCGGCGGCGGGGCGCCCGGGGGCCGCGCGGGCTCCTCCTTGACCGGCGGGCGGGGCGCGGGGCCCGCGGCCGGGGGCTCGGCCTCGCCGTAGAGGCGCTGGCTGGAGATGCCGTGGCGCTTCTGCCAGCGCCAGAACCAGCCGTGGCTGGCCTTGAAGGTGCAGGCGGGCCCGTGGATCTGGCGCGCGAAGGCCTCGGCCTGCGCCTGGATGGCGGGCCCCGACAGCGGCACGCCGTGCCGGCGCAGCGCGAGGAACCACGCGTACACGGCGCGGTCGATCTCCTCCTCGTTGGCCAGCCGCATCTTCTTGCGCTGCGTGCCCACCTCGCCGCCCAGCTGCTCCAGGAACCAGCGCAGCTTGGGCTCGTCCTTGAGCCAGCCGCGCAGCGTGCCGCCGGGCACGCCGAAGTCCCGGCACACGCTGGCCTGCCGCTCCCCGCCCTTGACGCGCTCGATGGCCTGCAGCTTGTCCTTGATGGAGTAGGCCTTGCGGAAGGCCATCTTCACCGCCACGCGGGGCCCGGCGCGGGCGTCGGCGGGCGCGCCGCGGCGGGGCCCGGCACGGCGGCGGGGGACCGCGGCGCCTCGACCGGAAGTCCGGACGGGGGAAGGCGGCCGCGGTGCAGGGCAGAGCCAGCCGGGGAGCTCACGGGGTACATGGTGGCGGCGGCGACGGGGACCGCCGGGCGCGCGAGCCCTGCTCCGGCCCGCGCCGCCCTCCGGGGGCGGGGTCAGGGGCGGGACCGCCGGGGTCCCTCCCTTTTGTCCCGCTAGCCGGGCCGGCGCATGCGCGCTGGGCCCGTCCGTCCGCCGCGCCTGCGCCGGGGTCGCAGTTCGCCGGTTTCGCCGTCAGCCCCGCCCCGACTCATCCGGACGGCTCCACTCGGCGGCCGGCGAGGGGGCGGCGGGTGGGCCGCGGCCTCGTCCCAAGCTCGGTGAATCGACTGCTCCGAGGTGGAGCGACCTCCGACGTCTCTGTCACCAGCTCGCCACCTGGGCGCTCACGGCGCGCGAGGCGCCGCGGGGCCCGAGGAGGAGACGGCGCTTGCGCGGAGCCGCGCCTCCCCCCCCCGCGGCTGACGTGGTACGCCCCGCTCCACTTCCGGTGTGCGGGCCCGGCGCACGCCCGTCCTCGGCAGGCCCGCGCTCGCAGTGCCGCGCTCGCTCGTCTCCCCCTCGGCTGGCGTGAGTACCGCGGCCCCCGCCGCTGGGCGCGCACGCGCCCGGGAGGCTCGCGGGCCGCACCCCGGTCGTTAGGGCTGGCGCCGGCGGGGCGGCGCGGGTTCGGGCGGACGGCGGGGCCGCGCGGGGGGCGGGCCGGCTCCCACGTGGGCCGGGGCGCGGGCCGCTTCCCGAGCGAGCGCCCGTCCCCTCGGGGCCGTGGCGGCCGAGGGAGGCCCGGCGTCCTCGCGTTCGTCCCGCACGCGTTTGTTGGGGCTGGGCACGGAGGCGCAGGGCTTGGGAGGAGCGGGGGGCCCCGGAGAAGCGGCGCCCGGGGCCTCGCGGGCCCCGCCCAGCCCGGCTTCTAGCCGGGATTTCAGGCAGGAGCCCCTGGGCCCCCTTTCCGCAAGGCTGCTGCTCCTCGGGTGGCGTCCTCCACCCTCTCGAGCCCGGCCTGGCGTTTGCGTGGTGAAGCAGAGCTGCTTCCGCACGTGGCGAAGGACAGATGTGACCCCCCACCCCCGTGTCCCTTGAGGACAGACTTGCTCATCACATGCCTGGCGCACAAACTCAGGTCCCGCCATGCTCCTAGCACTGCTTCTGCAGGGCTTCCCGGCCCGAAGCGGTAGGCCTGGAAGGCAGAGGAAGGAAGGAAGGAGCGCCCGTGCCGGGCTGTGTGGTGGCCGACTCCACACGGGCCTCTTGATTCCTTACCTCCGAGTCAGGGGCCAGCAGCGTCTCCTAATGAGCTGGGAAATTTCAGGCAGAGCCCATCTGGCTGGCTGGCTTCCTGTCCCTTGGAGGGCCAGCCCTCCAGTGTTGGCTTTGGGGGAGCCGAAGGCTGGACAAGGTGGCTAGTGTGCTTGACAGCGTTTGGATCCAAAGAGTGGCTCTGGGTTGGTGTGTGCTAGTGTCAGCCTCTTAGGGGCTGCGGGCAGGGGGTGCTGGGCATTGTTCATTGGTCTGCGCTGGCATTGTTCATTGGTCTGCGCTAGCCTCCTAAGGTGAGCTGTGTACGTTGGAAGAGGCAGTGAGACGTTTAGTATTATTTATGGGGCTTTTCCACTTATTTCCTTACTTATTTGGTGGTTGTGTATGTGTGTGTAGGCAGGTACTGGGGTTTGAACTTGGCCTGACGCTCTAGCTTGATTTCCTCTGTTGAAGCAGGGGCCCTGCCACTTGAGCCACACCACCACTCACTGTTTTTTGCCGTTTAATCGGAGATTAGATTTTTCTACACAGGCTGGAAAAAGCTAGGATGACAGGCCTGAGACACCAGCAGCTCCTACAGTGACACACTTATGTGGACTACCTAAGTGTGTGAAGGAAGAGCAGGCTGTGGGTTTCAGCCCTCCTGGCTTGGTGGCTTTCAGTGGCCCCGACATTTGGAGTCCTGTGAGTGTGAAATGCTCTATTCCGGTCCCCAAGTAGTTGCAAGGTCCAGCACAGGTAAGGAGAAGGGCTTCAGGGGCTTAGGTCGTCAAGCAGGCCAGGCCACCACGGGCCATAACAAAAATAGAATTGATGAGATAGCATTTGAGGTGAGGAGGTTGTTGGGGCTGGCTAGGCCTGCGCCAGAGTGGTTTGGCTAGCCGCAGTGTCCCTCCAGGCCTAGGGCACATAGACCTGTTCTGCCTAAGACAAGTCCGTAGTTCTGAATAGGGCTGAGGTGTGCGAGAGTCAGGCAGAGCAGCATTGAGTGGGATCTTGAGGCTGTGCAATTTAACCCCTAAAAAAGGGTGAAAGCCAGGCACCAGTGGCTCGTGCCTGTAATCTTAGCTACTCAAGGTGAGACTTATCTCCAGTTAACCATCAGAAACCCAGAAGTGGAGCTGTGGCTCAAGTGCTAGCCTTGAGCAAACAATCTCAGGGACTGCACCCAGGCCCTGAGTTCAAGACCCAGGCCTGACACAACAAAACAAAAAGGGTGAAGGATTGGGTGCTGGTTGCTTCCTGACTGTAATCCTAAGAGGAGGGGGATGGGTTTGAAACATCTGAAGTCCCTCGAAACTGTGCATGCCTATTGTCCCAACTGATACCAGAAGCCAAGATTAGGAGGATCAAGATGCTAGGCAGAAAAGTCCAGAAGGCACCTGTCTCTGTGAAAGGGGAGCTGTGCCCTGTGGAACCACCAAAAACCTACAAAACGTAGGTGCCGTGGCTCAGGCGTGTGCCCTGGTGGAGAGTGGAGCCCTGTCCTAAAGGTAGAGGGTGGGAGGCACCGTCAGCGGTAGCGTGCCAGCCTAGCCAGCCAAGGAAAGGCAAAAAGTATCACAGCAGCACTGGACAGTGTGGCCGTCCTGAGAAAGCCCTTTCTCCGGCATCCTCGGCATTTCAAGTGCCAACATCTGCCCTTTTGGACAGACAGAGAGTGTTCTATTGGGTAGCACTGGTTCACAGACTCGGGCGAGCACAGAAAGGGGCTGCTGGGTGGGGGTGCATGGAAGCTGAGTTTGCTGGCAGACTGACCCAGTCTCCTGTCACTCTCACTATTCTACTCCTGTGGGCACAGGCTACTTGAGGGTGTCCAGAGGACAGGTGTCACGGGTAGGTCCCAGGAAGCTGATCATGAAAGCCTTCACCATCTGTCCTGGTGCATGGAGATAACTGGGTTCTAACCACCATGGCTGGCACCGCTGGGGCCCATCACATCTTAGTCTTCCTCAGGACTCAGTCCTCCAGCCAAGCGTGTCCTTGGCAGAGCTTGTGGTTGACAGACCGCAAGAGGCCCTGCCCTTATTTAGGAGGCTGTAGCCAGTCCACAGGCCCCTTCAGCTGGTTCCTCTGAGTGCTACTGGTGCTGTCTCTGGGCTGACCCGGTCAGCACCCCCTCCCCTCCGCCCCCGCCCTCGGCTCACTTTCTCCCAGAGGAATAAGGGGCCTCCAGAAAGCTCTGTGGCAACTGGCTTTCTTCATTGTACTCCATTCTCTGTTCAAGCTCCTGCCCCTGCTGGAGAAGCCCGAGGCCAGCTTCACCCACTGTGCAGGGCTGCGGTAGCCAGGTTGCCCTGCTGGCGTCCCCACGCTGTTTTGGGAGGCTCTGGGCTTGTACTGGAGTGCCTTCCAGGAGTCCGTGCAGACAGCTTGAAAGCCTTATGGTGCTTTGGACAGGGGCCTGTCACGACTTACTTTGTCCCAGGACAGTTGGGAGAGGGTGGCTTCTGATGGGAACCCAGAGAGCTACATTGCAAGGGGTGAATCTGGTGTGGGGTCCGGACAGCCACCTGAGGTCTGGTAGTATGGCTCAGCCTCGCACCTGCCTGGGCGATCCCCTCAGTAGACCCCCAAAGGCCCAGCCTGCTCGGGCTGCCTGAGCTGCTTGCTGTCTGGGGAGGCCAACCTTTCCCACTGGTCTAACCTTGGTACTTTCCCTTCATGCTGTCCTAGGAGGCCAGAGCAAAAGTAAGTACACCTTCCTGCTGCCTTGTGGCCCAAGGCAGTTCTGTCCCCTACTGGCCAGCACCTTAGAGGTGGCTTCCTCTCCTTGAGCCCTGGCTCCGGGAGCCTGGGCAGGGGTCACTTGGGCAGTAAAGCACTAGTCCCCGGGGTCATACAAAACCTGGGCTGCTCTGAAAGTTGGACCATTGATGAGCGTCCTAGACCATTGCTGGTGAGCTCAGTGGTCCGTCAAGCCGGCTGTGCTGGGAGCCGTGCCAGGCCAGGCCTCCTGTCCCCTTGGTAACCCTGGGTGATGTCACAGTGCCTTGCCTCCAGGTCTCTTGCCCCTGTCCCTGCCAGTGCCCCTGAAATCTGCCCTTGGTAAGTGAGGGGTGCCCCCTCCCCCATCTCTCCTGGGCCTTAGCAGACCCTGGCCCTAGCTCCTGGCAGCAGAAGGGGCCTGGCACTTCCCTCTGGGTCCTTAGGGTGGGCTTCAAGCCTGGACCGCTTTCCAACTCCTCCTGGTGGGTGGGACTTAGATTTTGTTAGGGGTCGGTGTTAGGAGGGAGCCCTAGACAGAGAGGTAACGGTTTTTCTTCAGCCAAAGACTGCCCTCCAGGTAGGAAGCAGCGGGTGGCCTGTCCGCTTTGCCTTAGGCTGCTCCCCTTGCTCCCAGTCAGCTCTGGGCCTGGTTAGTTGAGCCCCGACAGCTTTTCCTTGGGGGCACATAGGTGCTGACGTAGGTCCTGGGAGAGCTCAGCCTGGGGCCTCTGCTCTGGCGCTGTCACCGCGGCAGGGGCCGGGCCTCCAGCCTCCTCCCTAGGTCTCCAGTGACTTGACCCTTCAGGTGCGGGCAGTCAGCCTCTGCTCCTGGTCTCCCTCTGCAAGGCCAAGCCCACAGTGAGGCAGACCAAGGGCGCCGCTTCGGTGGGCCAGCCGTGTGCTGGTGATGGGCTTGCCGTGGGTGGGCATCCTCAGGTGGCCTCAGATCCCTTCCTGTGGACTAGAAGCACCAGCTGGCTGGCTCCCTGGGAGGTGTCAGGCGCTCAGTACATGGCTATATTTGTTCTGATAAGCTAGGAGTGGTTTCTTAGTGGAAGTAAATCTGGGGTATTTCATTAGATACACTTACCCCAGGAAACTGCTGATTATACTAGCCAGTTCCAGCTGGGCACAAGCTGTGCTTTCTGGAAGCCCCATGCGAGGAGGCTTCTGTGGCACATTTAGAGGTGGTATCTAGTAGGTCCCTTTGCAATCAACTTTTGCGGTAAAATTACATAAACATGTGAAGGCATGTGCTTACGTTTCAGTTACAGAAGTTCCCATGTGACAGTGACTCTGGGCCCTTGCATGTCATCTCATTGCCCACCCTCCCGGCCCCCTGCTAGCCCCTCCCCTGCCCACCTCTCCCTGTCTCCCTGCTAGCCCCTCCGGTCAGGCTGAGGCTGAGGAGGTGGTGGGAGGCAGGTTCCTCTGCTGTGTTGCAACTGCCTTCTTGTGCTTGCTTTTTAACGCTGTGTCCGAAGATGAGGAGCGGGAAGGCCTCTTGTGCCCTGGAGACCGTCTGGGAGGACAAGCACAAGTATGAGGAAGCTGAGCGGCGCTTCCATGAGCACAGGGCCATGCAGGCTGCCACCTCTGCTCAGCAGCTCCTGGCCAAGGTGCCAGCTGTGAACGGGCCTGGACAGGAGGACACCGAGGACGCCGAGGAGGCCAAGGCCCCCAACACCAGCAGGAGCGATCCCGGGAAGAGCCATGACAGCAAGAAGCCGCTGCAGAAGAAGAGGAAGCGCTCCCCCAAGAGCTGGCTTGGCCAGGAGGACCTGGCCCTGGTGGGCCTCTCAGCCGACCACGGGTGGCTGGACAAGCCACTCTTCGACCAGGCAGAAAGCTCCTACCGCCAGAGGCTGGCCGACGCAGCAGCCCAGCAGGCCCCGCAGGGCCCCTGCACACACGGGAGCCAGGTGGCCTGCCACCACGTGACATGGGGGATCTGGGTCAACAAATCCTGCTTTGACCAGGCCGAGTGCGCATTTGTGGAGTGGTCTCAAGCTCTGCTGCTGGCTGCAGAGCAGAGCCAGACGCAGGGGGCTCCTGACACAGGCCAGCAGGTGGCCACCGCTGACCCAGCCCTAGCTTCCCAGCCTACCCTGCCGGCCAATGGCCAGCCCCCTCTAGGGAACCTGCAGGCCCTGGTTGGGGAGGTATGGCTGGAGAAGCCTCGGTACGATGCGGCCGAGAGGGTCTTCTATGAGGCCCTGTTTGACGGCCACCCCCCTGGGAAAGTGCGCCTGCAGGAGCGAGCCGGCCAGGCGGAGGGCGCCCGGAGGGGCCGCAGAGACCGGCGGGGCCGCAACGCCATAGGAAGCAAGCGGGCTGGGCCACGTCGCACTGACGGGGAGGTCCCCTCCGCCTTGCCCTACTGGTACTTCCTGCACAAGGACGCCGAGGCTCCCTGGCTCAGCAAGCCCAGCTACGACAGTGCTGAGTGCCGCCATCATGCTGCTGAAGCCCTGCGCATGGCCTGGCGCCTGGAAGCTGCCTCCCTGGCTCACCGCCCTGGGCCCCGGTCTGGCCCATCCATGTCCGGCCTGAGACCCAAGTAGGAGAAGTGGCAGAGGGTGCCTGGCCTGGCTAGGATTGCAAACACAGGGACAGCTGTCCCCAGGCGGGGCCCCTCTTCCCCATCCTGTCCCGCCCTGTCCCGTGTAGGGGCTCCCCATACCTGGGCCCTGGCAAGGGGAGTGTTACCCCTTGGGGGGAGTCCTCTGAACTATTGGGATTGGTGGGCGCAGGACAGGGCAGATGAGAAGCCGTCTGGCTGGTCCCTGGGGTGCTCAGGTGAGATGGGAGGCTGTGCAGGGCACCCCAGGCTAGCCTTGTGATGCGTGCCTGCCTTCGAGGTGCGGTGGGCCGCAGACCCAGGAGCACATGGTTAGCACGGCCTCTGTTGGAACTTGGTCTGGGGCGAGAGACAAACCCCTTGGGGCCATGCTCCAGGACCCTGGGGAGGGGGCACCACCCCGTCCCCTGCTGCCAGCTGGGCTTCGAGGACACAGGCAGCGTGATTGGGCAGGGAAGTGGCTGGACATGCCGGTGTCCCGCTTGCTCTTCCTGCCCTGTGCTCACAGTGGCCTGGCTCCCCAGCAAGTCAGCCATGCGTGGGAGCAAAGTCTTGCTGGACTCTGTCACATTTCACAGGGCAGCAGGAGGTGAGGCTGTAAGCGGTGCAGGTTGGGGTTGGAACCTGACCCCCGAGAGGTGAGGCCCACGGGCCACTTCCCATCTGCTGGACCTGGTCTAGAACAGCAGTTCTCAAACGTCTCCATCTTGGTTTGCTCAAGAATTTACTTATAGGGCTGGGAGTGTGGCTCAGTGGCAGAGCGCCTGCCTAGCATGCCTGAAGCCTGGGTTCCTCAGTACCACATACACAGAAAAAGCCAGAGGTGGTGCTGTGTCTCAAGTGGTAGAGTGCTAGCCTTGAGCAAAAGTGACCTGGCCCTGAGTTCAAGCAGGACTAGCAAAAAAAGTATCTATTGACATTTGCCAGATTGCAGCTGAGAACTAAGCACTAACTATGCTTCCAGCCTGGGCGCCAGCACTCACGCCTGTCATCCCAACTGCTCAGGAGGCTGATATCTGCAGATCATGGGTCAAAGCCAGCCTGGGCAGGAAAGTCCATGAGACTTATCTCCATTTAGTAACATCTCCCCCCCCCAAAAAAAAAAACAAAAAACCCTAGAAGTAGAGCTGTGGCTCAAGTGGTAGAGTACTAGACTTGAGCTGAAAAAGCTTAAGGATAGTACCTAGGCCCTGAGGTCAGCCCCACGACCACCCCACCTCACTCCACCCTCCAAAGAAAGAAGTGCTTACATATTGAAGGAGAATTAGTTTGTTGGTGTCCATAGCAGGTTTTTGTGAAAAACATCTTTCTGGTGGCAAAAACAAAAAAATGCAGTGGGCCTAGTAGAAGCCTAACAGTCATATGACATTGTTGCAAACTTTGTGTCTGGTTTGGTTGATGGCTGGATTCTCCTTTCTGTGCTCAAACAGTTTTTGTGTGGTTCATGTAGTTGGAAGGGAGTCTGCTTTGTGGGTTCCCAGAAGTCCTTGGGCTAACTTGAGGGCTGGTGTGGAGTAGCAGCTGGGGAAGGCGGGGTGTGTGGCCGCTGAGGGGCTGCCGGCTCGTCATGCTAAGTGAGGCCCACTCTGTTCTCCTCGGGCTGCGTGAGCCAGCATGCTCAGGCTTACAGTTGGCATCTGAGACGGAGAAGGGTATCTTCAGACACCCCCGCACCCCCACCTTCTAGCCATGCTAACCTAACTTCTCCCCCTCCCAGCAGGAAAATGGCTACAAACTTTCTGGTGCATGAGAAGATCTGGTTTGACAAGTTCAAATACGATGATGCTGAAAGGAAATTCTATGAGCAGATGAATGGGCCTGCAGCTGGTGCCTCCCGCCAGGTGAGGGCTGGCTGGGGGCTGGCAGGCCGTGAGGGCAGAGGCATGTTAGGGCCAAGAGGCTCTGGAGGCTTGGGGAGAGGAGCATTACTGGCTCCCGATTGTAATGCATAGGACACACACTCCCAGGCAACTAGGGCTGAGCTTCCGAGGTCTGCCTGCAGACTGGCCCTACACACAGTGGCCCTGGCCTCCAGCATCACCTGCTCTCTCTGCCCTGCCTGCTTTTATTCTGTGCAATGCTGCTTTGCTCTCTGGGTGAGGATTTTTAGGGTTTTAAGGGGTTTGAGGGTTTTTCTAATTTAACTCGACTGGTTCTTTCTGCATTGTCTGCAGGATAATGGTGCCAGTGTGATCCTCCGTGACATTGCAAGAGCCCGGGAGAACATCCAGAAATCCCTGGCTGGAGTGAGTACCCGTGGGCTCGTGCTCGGCCAATAGCATGTCTGATGGGACCCCTTGGTGCTGCCAACAGCCTTGACCCTTTGGGCCAAATTAGGCTACAGAGTGTGGTGAGGTGTTCTTGAAGGGCATGGGGTGCTGCAGCCTCCAGACCCACACTGGACCAGAGCTTGTGTGTACCCTCTTGTCGGTGGTCACTACGGCTACTCCTGCATGCCAGTGTGGTTGCCTGAGCTGATTGTCCTTCTGCACTGTGCACGTGCGGAGGCCTCTTTCTTCCTGCTTGCTGCGTGACTGCTGGACCCCTCCATGGGATGGGTGCTGTTTCACTAGGTTTCTTTTTTTTTTTTTTTTTCGGTCGTGGAGCCTGAACTCTGGGCCTGGGCGCTGTCCCTCAGTTCTTCAGCTCAAGGCCAGCGCTCTACCACTTGAGCTACAGCCACTTCCGGTTTTCTGGTGGTTTATTGGAGATAGGAGTCTCACAGTCTCTCCTGCCCCGGCTGGCTTTGAACCGCGATCCTCAGATCTTAGCCTCCTGAGTAGCTGGGATGACACGCGTGAGCCCCCAGCACCCAGCTTCACTAGGTTTCTTGAGTTCTCGCCATAGAGTCAGCACCATCTTGGTTTTGTGGCTTTGTGTGGCCTCTAGGCTCCAGACAGATCAGGAGTGGAGGGGGTCCATGGCTGAGTGGCCTGCTGGGCAGGCTCTTAACCAAAGTGGACCTACTGGGCTGCCTTCCTTACTGAGAGGGTGGGGGCCTCATTCTCCTGGGGTAGTTGGCTGCTGGAACAGATGACCACTAGCTCCCAGCTTACAACAGTGTGAGTTCATCTTACAGTCCTGGATGACAGAAGTCCAAGACGGGTCTTCCCAGCCTAAATCCAAGTGCCATCAGCACTGTATGTCCTCAGGTTCCAGGAGAAAATCCATTTCCTGCCTTTTTGGGGTTCCTTGGTTTGTGGCCTGTGGCAGGCAGTCTCAACCTTCCAGCCTCTGCTTCCGTCTTTGCAGTCTTGACTCTGAGTCCCCTGCCTCCCACCAGCCCAGGGGTTCTTCTGATTGCAGCTGGCCTGTCCTGATAATTTAGGGTTTCCTTACTATCCAAAATCGCAAGTTTGATTATATATTTGCTAATTCCCTTTTACTGTGGAAGGTGACGAGATTGTGGAGGGATGACCTTATCAGTCCGCCCAGTACCACCGTTGAACCCACGCAGGGTCAGTCTGTGTCCTATCTGTCCTATGCCAACATCCCCTAAGCCAGCCCCGCACCCCCACAGGTTCACACTGTGCCCATCCGTCCTACACCAACACCCGCAGAGTCTTAGTCCGGAGCAGGGTGGTCTGTGCCAAGGCAGAATTCTTCAGGTGTAGACCAGTACACCTAGGGCGTAAGTTACCCCCTGAGTATAGGTATGGGTCAGCTGTGCCAGGTCTCCCTCTTGAAAAGGGGGACGAAAGAGAAAGGGGGCTTCACTGGTCCCAAATAAGTTCAGAATCCAGCCAGGCAAGTGCTCGAGGTTTGAAGACAGAGCTAGAAGGCGGGGCTCAGCAGCGAGAGCACTTGTTAGCAGACTGTTTGTCCATCCTCGCCCTGGCAGTACTTACACTAAATTGTGCACAATGCTCAGGAGCTCTGTGAACCTTGCGATAGCCAGAGGCTGTCCCCACCTTCGACACCTGTTGAGGGAGGGGATCCGCAGGTCGCCACCTGGCTCGGGTCCTCCACACTCACCAGGCTGTCCAGCTGCTACTGGCTCCCCATACTTTCCTTGCCGAGTTTGCATTCAGATCTTTTGCAGCCTGGAGAATGGGTTTTGTTTTGTTTTGTTTTCGTGCCGGTCCTGTAGTTTGAACTAGGGCCTAGACACAAGGCTAGTGCTCTACCTACCACTTGAGCCACAGCTCCACCTATGATTTTTTGGTGTTTCATTGGCAATAAAGAGTCTCACAGACTTTGCTGCTTGGGCTGCCCTTGAACCACAATGCTCAGATCTCAGCCTCCTGAGTAGCTACAATTACAGGCATGTACCACTGGCGCCCGGCTAAGAGACTAAAAAGTTCTCAGACCATAAAGTCCTGGTTCTTTTCTGCTTAGCAGTTCCGTCCATCTCTCCTCCCATAAGCAGCAAGAAGAAAGTAAGGTGCTTCTTCCACAGTTGGCCTAGAAGTCCTCCTGGCACAATTGAATTAAACTGCCTGTCTACCTCCACCAGTGGTGGGAATAATCTTGTCTCCCCCGACTCCCTCCGCCAAGCCCGTGCGAGCAGCGGCACGAGCACCCGGTGTTAGCCGCGGTCTGCTGTCACCATGTGTGTCCTCCGGGTTGATGCTCTTGGCTGTGCTGCTTGCCCTGTCCAGAGCCCCAGGCTGCATCAGTGAGTAAGTTAGGATTTTTGTCTTGCTCCTTAAACCAGCCGTATCCCCTGGCCATTTTTTTTTCGGGGGGGGGGGTCCGGTCGTGGGGCCTGAACTCTGGGCCTGAGCACTGTCCCTCAGCTCTTCAGCTCAAGGCTAGCGCTCTACCACTTGAGCCACAGCGCCACTTCCAGCTTTTTTTCTTTTTGCTTATGTGGTGCTGAGGAATCGAACCCAGGGCCTCATGCATACAAGGCAAGCGCTCTACCACTGAGCCAACTTCCCAGCCCCCAGCTTTTTTCTTTTTGCTTATGTGGTGCTGAGGAATTGAACCCAGGGCCTCAGGCATGCAAGGCGAGTGCTCCACCACTGAGCCACCTTCCCAGCCCCCCCTGGCCATTTTTAAGGTTTGTTCCAATGCCCGTGTTCATTTCCACTTGATATAACCAACCCATGACCTCGTTCTGTCTGTACAAGTCCCGCCAGGGCTTCTTACTTGGCCCCTTCTTGGGTTCTGCCTTGGCTTCTACTGACCTCTACTGACCTCATCCCAACAGCTCAGAGCCCAGCCTGTGGCCCATGCTCGCCTGGGCATGAGCTGGGCTCGGGCCTCGCATGTGTAGGGCTGGTGGTAGCATGGACTTCTGAACAACACAGTGCCTACCTGGCAGCATGGGCTAAGCAGCCCTGGGGCTCCTGGAACACTTCCTACCTATGCTGTGTGGGGTTCACCTCTAGGTCCTAGTAGCTGGGGACAAGAGAAGAGCATACTTAGAGACTGGATTGCTAAGACTTATATCACAAAGCCAGACATCTTACAGCACTGGCTAGTCCCAAGATCAGTGCCAATGTTGGCACTGGCTCTGGCTCTAAAGGATCTGCTGCCTCTCCAGCCTGACTTCTTGATCAGAGTGCCCCAGTCATGGCTCCATCCCGCCCTCCACACATAACCTGCTGCCCCTGGTCTTTGCCACATGGCTGTGCTGTCGGAGACTCCTGGGCTTCCATACCAGCGCTGCCCAGGAGTGCTGCGGGAGTCAGATACATCAACAAGTGGTTTATCTGCTCAGTGTCACTCTGGGGCTGGTGCTCCCCACTGCTCTAAGGAGCAGGTTCTGCTGCACACAGGCCGAGAGCCGAGACCCGAGACCATGCATGCGCCTGAGATGGGGTCTGGCTGGAACTTGCATGCAGCCAGATGTGCCCTGTCCTTACAGCCCAGAGTGGATTTGCCCCCTGCCTGTGCACGTGGACCCTGAGGCAAGAGGCCAGAGCCTTCGAAGGCTGTCTTGGGATAAGGCGGTTGCATGGCCTAGTAGGCAAGGTGCTGTGCTGACAGTCCTCCAGTCCTTTCTTTTGGCCCTTTAACTGCTTTCCCCTCCCCTTTCCAGCTCAAGGCAGTGCTGCCCGGCCCCGCTGAGGCTCTGAGCCAGCTCGCCCCTGGGACTGTAAGTCCTGCTGGACAGTGGCAGTTCTGAACTGCATGCTGCCTCTGTATAGTCCTGTGCCCTCTGTGTGCTGAGAACGCCGCTGTGTTCTGTGCAGCCTCCCTCCTGTGGCCCATGAGGATGGACGGGCCAAGGCGTCTCCATGGTCCTGAGCAGAGCAGGGACCCAGTGGGGCTGACGGGGCTCTTTCTCTGAGTGGCTGTGAATGGGGGAACCCTAGGCAAGCTGGGGTGCTGAGTCCCAGGCTCCTTCCTTGCAGAGCTCAGGCCCTGGGGTTTCCAGCGGACCTGGTGGAGATCACAGTGAGCTCGTAGTACGGATTGCCAGCCTGGAATTGGAGAACCAGAACCTGCGAGGAGGTGAGGCCCTGGGCCTGGTGGGCTGGGCGGATATAGCCCTCTGCTTCTGTCGTTAAATGAGGATCCCTGTGCCTGCAGTGGTGCAGGATCTGCAGCAGGCGATCTCCAGGCTGGAGGCGCGGCTGAGTGCCCTGGAGAAGAGCTCACCCAGCCACCGCACCACCACCCCACAGACGCAAGTGAGTGCCCTCCTCACCCTGGGCCTCACTGGGCTGTGGCAGCCCAGGCCCCCCCCCCCCCCCCCCCCCCCGCAGCTCATCTTCCCTAGGCCTTGGAGTGCATGGAAAACCATCCAGGCTGACCTCTTGCAGCTGCTTTGCCTTCAGTTAGTGCAGGGGGGGAGAGGGGAGGTGGGGCGAGGCTCAGTCTCTGCCTGCCTGTGGCAGCACGTGTCTCCCATGCGCCAAGTGGAGCCTCCAGCCAAGAAGGCAGCCACACCAGCCGAGGACGAGGACGACAATGACATTGACCTGTTCGGCAGTGATGAGGAGGATGAGGACAAGGAAGCAGCCCGCTTGCGGGAGGAGAGGCTGCGGCAGTATGCAGAGAAGAAAGCCAAGAAGCCCTCGCTAGTGGCCAAGTCATCCATCCTCCTGGATGTCAAACCTGTGAGTGGGAGGAGTGGGACCTCCCTTGTCCCCTAGGGGCAGAAGTCAACTGTAGAAGTGTAGGGAGAGGAGCAGATTGGGATACCCAAGGAGCCCTCGCAGGATGCACCGGCAGAACCTCCCCAGATGACTCACTTTTCTCTTCCACTCCCACAGTGGGACGATGAGACGGACATGGCCCAGCTGGAGGCTTGTGTGCGCTCCGTCCAGCTAGATGGGCTGGTTTGGGGGGGCTCCAAGCTGGTCCCTGTGGGCTATGGCATCCGTAAGCTACAGATCCAGTGTGTGGTGGAGGACGACAAGGTGGGCACAGACCTGTTGGAAGAGGAGATCACCAAGTTTGAAGAACATGTGAGCCAGCCAACAGCAGGAGGGTGGGGGAGGGAGGGTGGGCCTTAGGGAAACCAGCCACCATAAGCCCCGCCCCACCTGTCTCCATAGGTGCAGAGTGTGGATATTGCGGCTTTCAACAAGATCTGAAGCCTGAATGCATGGTTTGCGTGTGTGAGCCTCTGCTGAAATTAAAGACTTGAGACTCTGCACTGTGTCTCCTGTTTGTTGCGTGGGGGGAGGTTTTGCACATGCACACACAGGTGCTGCTCCTTTGCTCTGATCACTCACCCTGTGGGTCCTCACATTCCACTGCAAGGGACAGGTCCATCCAAGCTGTTCAGTCAGAGCAGAATCTGTTGGCTCATTGATGGGAGAGGCCACATCTCTCCAGACTGCCGCTTCTCCTAACTGGTGCGGGACCCTCCCACCCTCATTCCCACCACCCAGTCCTCCCTATTTGGGTTTGAAGGTTCCTGCCCCTTTGCCTGCTGGAGACCTGCAACCTGGTCAAGTCTAATTACATTCTGTCGAGTCTGCCTCCTCGCTCCTGGTGGTCAGTGCTGCGTTCTTCGTGGTTCTAGACTGCAGTGTAGTGAAATTGGCCAGAATTGGTGTTTGAGTGTGGCCGCTTCCTGTCAGAACTGGTATCCACAGGGCTCCTAGCCTTGAGGGACAGCGCCTTTCGTCCACAGTTTGGAGAACTTCCTGTGGGCCTGTACAGGGCACCCCCAAAACCGCAGTAGCTGCTTTTTGGATGGGGCAGACAGCCCCTAGCAGTACACGGGGTGCCATTGCTGAAGACGCAGTGAGGCCAGGCCACTGGCCGGGGTTCTGAACCCGAGGGCTGTGCAGCCCAAGGTCAGGGCTGAGAGTAGGAAAGGCAAGGGTTAAAGGTCAGCCTGAGGAGGGGGGGAGGGGGGAAGGCAAGGGTTAAAGGTCTGGGGACCTCGGGAAGCCCCGCCCGCCTTCCGGGAAAGGGAGGGTGCCACCCCGCCTCCCGGTGCGAGTCTCGGGGTGCCCGCGGCCTGGGCAACTCCAGGATGGCGTCAGAGCGGGGCGCGGAGCCCGTGCCAGGGGACGGGGCCGCGGCGCGGGACGGGGCCGCGGCAGAGAACCGGGCCGCGGCAGAGAACGGCCTGAACTCTGGGCCTGAGCACTGTCCCTCAGCTCTTCAGCTCAAGGCTAGCGCTCTACCACTTGAGCCACAGCGCCACTTCCAGCTTTTTTTCTTTTTGCTTATGTGGTGCT